AAGTCTTCACCAAATATTCAAGCACACCATGGAAGAACAAGTTTGAAGACTTCATCAATGGCTAGCCCTTCACACCTCACCAACCCTTCTCATTCACACACATGTTGTTAATGGAGGTGTGCTACTTCTTGCCTATAAATAGGCTTCATATTTCATTCATTCAAATCATCCTTGAGAGTGATCAATCAACCTAGAGAGTGTTGAAACACAACCAAGAAAGAGTTGTGGAGTGTTTGAGAGTTTTTTGTTTAGAATTTGTAAATCTCTTGTTTTTATTCTTGTGAGTAATATAAACTTGTTTTTTCTCTCAAATTATGTTTATGATCTTGGGATGATACCACAACAATTTTTGGCTATTTTCCTCAATGCTTTTGCATGTAGTTTGGTTTGTGGATGTTGAGAATTGAACAGGAATTGTCCGTGATGCTCCACATCACTGTCATTAGAAAACATTGTTTTAAATAGTTCGCTATAGCTTGCGATGTTTTTTTTTTTTTTTTTTTAAAAAAATCGCAACTAACTTAATATATTTACCGTTTTTCTCAAAAGCTTACGCGAAATGTTGAAATGACACGTTTTTATGTTATTTAGCTTAATATATTTAGCGTTTTTTCTAGAAAGTTTACGCGGAATGCTGAAATGACACGTTTTTATGCTATTTTATCTACTGTGCTTTATATTTCTACAATGATATTTAGATAATAAAATATTCAAACACTAGTACAATTTAGAAATTAGAGTCGTATGTTTAACTAACAACTAAAAACTAAAACTTTTGATAACAATTTCAAATTAAAAGTTTGAAAATGTAAAGTCCTAAGTTTAATAGGGTAACATTTATCGGTCTAGTTCTATTTTATCATTTTATTTGGTGGTATTTGACATGTAAATTAAATATTGAACAATTCAGATCTAATTGTTAAAATTAAGTTGTAGTTAAATTAAAAAATTAATAAAATGTGCATACTAAGAATCAAACTATCACTAACCTTATTAATTTTTGTTGTTTGTTTGTAACTTGAAAATGCTACAAGTACATAACAAATGTACATAGAGGTGTATATAACACTCACATGGGTGGGGTCCACTTGATTTTTTATTTTTGGTTGGTCCCACTCAATGTGAGTGTTATGTATATCCTTATATACAATATTATGTACCTATAGCATTACTCTTTTAACTTATAGTATATTCGCTTTATTATTTAAATATTCATATAACAATATTTATATTATGTTCATTGCATATGGAGCTGGAAGAGTCATTGTTGACAATTCTCCTGGCATAGTGCTAATAATGGACTAGATCAAAATGGCTCAATTAAATTCTAGTGCTTCTTCTATTAGTGAAGTTTCTATAAAATATATATCAAACGACGCAACGCACCTTGGATCACTATGGAAACAACCTCCTTGTATAATTACAAAGGTAAGGTCTGCAAACAACTGACCCCCCCAGACCTCAACCTGTTGGGAATATACTGGGTATGTTGATGTTGATGTTGATGTTGATGATAACAATATTTACATTAAACATTTGTAGGAAATAATTTTTAAATATTATTTTTGAATTCATTCAAATACTATGATAATTGTTGGAATCAACCATTTTGTTTTGGTATATATGTATGTACATATGTAAATATATAATATTTCTATAAAAATAACTTTTATAGACAAATAGCTTACACAAGACGCAAATATATTAACGTTACGCAATATAAAAGCAAAACCCGACGCAATAAGCTTTACGCGTTTTAAAACACGGTTAGAGAATAAAGTAACAAGGTTTACTAAATATAAATATATTATTTATTTAAAAATATTAGAGTTGTCGGGTATATAAATACACTTAGACATGGCCACAATGCGGGCCAGATTACGGCCCGGCCCGACGGGCCACCGGGTAGGGTTTCGAAGACCCTGAACGACCCGGGTCTGGATCTGACCACATAAAAATATATAATAAAAAAGATAAATTTAAAAAACAATGTATTTTATGTGCTGGCACGGGCTCGGCCCGGCCCAACCCGTCGGGCCAATGTCGAAAAAAACAAGACCCTTGACCAGCCCGTTTGAAATCCGAGCCGGGCCCGGACCCTTGGCTAATGGGTTTGACCGGGCCGGTTCCGTGTCGGGTCCGGGCTGGGTGACCCGGTCGTTTGGTATGATCTTACAGAACCTATGTGCCTAACTTATTTTAGTCACGGATTAATTCGGGTTAGTGTCTACTCTTCGGGGAACTTTGGTCTAGTAGTTATTTCCATTAAATGGAAAATAATTAAATAATTTAAACTAATTTATTATGTTATAATTACTACTAATACTAAGGCTATGTTTGGTAAAACCAGCTGATACGCTAGCTGATAGCTTATAGCTTATCAGTAATTTTTTAGCTTATAGCTTATAGCTTATGACTTATTAGTTGATAAGCTAGCTTATATGTTAAAAGTGTTTGGTAAAATTAGTTGATAAGCTAGCTGAAATAAAAAATTCAACTAGCTTATTTGAAAAGCTACCTAATGAAGCTTATCAAATAAGCTCGAGCTTTTTAAATAAGCTCGTCCTACCAAACGAGGCTTATTTAAATACAGGAATTTTATAAGCTAATCAAATAAGCTATAAGCTAGCTTATTGGTCTACCAAACATAGCCTAACTAATTATAAATTTATATTAAATAGTATGTGAAAGTTACATACTTATAAAAAATTGTATTGCAATTTTTTTTTCCTTTAAGATACTTATTCTACAATAAATATTATTTTCCGTCTTATCAATCGAGTTTTTTCTAATATTAGTTAATTGATATAAGTATCACAATTAAACTCCTTGAAATTACACAAACTAGTATCCGACCTGTGCATTTGCACAGATGTAGATAAAGTATTGTGAGTTATTTATATGCATTATTTTTCTTCACCTTTATGCTGACCAAATTTATAATTAAAAGAGTTGGAATATTTTTTTTTTATATTGCGTTTATTTGATTGAATGTAACGTATATTTTGGTATGTCTTTTTTTGAGATTTATTATTTATTTAGGAATTTCAAATATGCTTTTTATTTAAAAAAATAATTTAAATGTAACTACAATAATAACATCTGATCACATTATATGGTCAATACATTATATTGTCAACTGTCAGTAATCAAAAGTTTAAAATTATTTTTGTAATTTTAAAGTGATTAGTGTTGATTATTTAATAATTAAATAAAGATTAAATACATCAAAAGTAACGGTTTTTGGAGGGAAAATGGTTAAATTGCCACATAGGTAAAATTTAATAGGTTTTATTATATGCTATTAGCTAGTAATTATATATATATATAGATAATTATTATAACAATAATAAAAATAATTTGTAATGCTTTTCGAACTAATTAATTGTATGGTCCGTCTAAATTATAAAATTACACCGTCCATTAAAAATGATGTCATCAATATAAATATTCACACGAAAGTTAAATAATTTATATTAATATTGGATATTTGTATATATTAAAAATTTTAAAATTTATAATATATAATTTTTTATTTGTCTTTTTGCATGTGCACATGACACGAATATAGTACATAATTAAATTGCACTCTGACTGTATCGATTGACCTTGGTGGTTGGATCTGTGATTCGGAAGGTCTGTGTTAGGCTGCATTTGCCTCCAACAATCGGGATCCTTTTCCCCAGAAACAGCCGAAGCATTGACTTTCCGTTTTGGACTTCGATTTGCATTTGATTCAGGATTTATGCTTCAAACCACCAAAACTGACGCTACTTCTATCATCTTTGGTATCTCAGACCAACATTCTAATGATCTTTTGCACAATGTCTTCTCTGATACAGTTGATCTGTTGAAGTTGTTGAATTGTGGGAATTGTAGTCATGTTAGTCATGAGCACAATGTTATAGCTCATAATATAGCTAAATGGGCTATTCGATCGACGAATCCTTTTTGTGGAAAGATTGTCTTGAGTCTTTTCTAGCTCCTTTCTTTCAAACTGTATCGTTGAACGGTTGATTGAATAATATCATGTTATTAGAAATTCTAGGGAGCCAACAGTTGGCTCCCTTATGGGCCAACACCCAATTAAATTGCTCTATGTGGGGATGTCCCACATGGGCTTTATGTGGGACATCCCCACATGGAAGAATTTAATTGGGTGTTGGCTCCCTAGAAGGACTGATCATGTTATTATCAAGAAAAAAAAATTGCACTCGACTATTTTTTTTTTAATACGAAAATTTTGTTTTCATAGAGCATGTTTGGTAAATAGCTTATTCGATAAGTTTTTTGGGCCGAAAACTCTAATTTAGAAAAGGCTCATTAGAGCAGCGTTTTGGGGATAGAGGATTCACAAAAATCATTTACTTGGAACTTTTTAATTTGTATTATTTATTTTACAATTCTACATTGGTTTAAAAAAAAAATATATTTATAAATTACCAACTAAAGAATATTAAATGTTTTAATATATTATTATTAAAAGAATACACCTTAAATAATAAAATGTCTTTATTAGTCATTATGCAATGTCAAACAACTATAAGCTTTCAGCTATTTATCAAACACTTATTTAAAAATTGCTAATGCAATTCGCTGATCAAATCAGCTAACATAATCCGCTATCCGCTGATACAATCCGCTATCCGCTATCACCATCAAGAGATAGGCCCAGTGGACCCCACGCACTGGATCATGACCGGCGTATGTATTCGTTAGATTGCCTGACGCATCAAAATTTAACCCCAAATGACTCCAAATTCTTTTTCTCTCCCAAAATAAAAATGCCTCCTTTATCGAGGATGATGCGTTCCAATTTTCCCTTTTTTTTTTTTTAAAGTTTTTGGAATAATTATCCGGCAGTAATGGTGATTCTGTAGGAGCCCAGTTTTAGTGTGGATTTTTTGCTCTTCGTGTGCAGAGAGCAGGAACAGTGACCTACAGATTTAGAATTTTTCATATAATTTGCTTTTATTTTTTCCCCTTTTTTTCTGGATTAAATGTCTGAATTGGTTGCTCGAACTGGCCGGCATCAGCAGCGTTACGAGGATGGCTACCGTCTTATTGCTGGGTATTTATTTATTTTATTTTATTTTCAGTTTCTATGCCCTTTTTCATGTGTACACATATTTGTTTGTTTGTGTGTGTGTGTGTGTGTCTTTGTACATCTTTTACATATGAACATATGTATGTCTCCATGCATGATTATGTGTGGATTGGTGTTTGTTTGTACGTGGGATTTTGTTTCTGTGTTCCCAATTGAGGTAAGGTGGAGCTCCTGGAGTTGGTTTTTGGGGTGTGTTCAGTGACCTTAATTATGTGCGTGTGTGTGCGTGTACATCTCTACTTATGCATTTATGTGTAAATGGGTGTTTGTTTGCTTGTGGGATTTTGTTTTTGTGTTCCCAAATTGGTATAGAACTACTGAAGTTGGTTTTGGAGTGTGCTCAGGGAGCTTAATTGTTTGTGTGTGTTTGTAATTGAGAAAATGTAAAACTTGTAATTTTGGACTGTGGAGTGCTTGGCTTTTAGTTAAAAATAGGATAAAAATTAAGGGAAGTTTTGGGATGAAGTATTGTGATATTAAACTCATGGTATTTTTTTTCCAAGAGGCAGGGTGTTTATGTTTTACTGCTGTTGCTTTGTGAGAAATTTGTGTAAATGAATATATGTGTGTTGTTGTATCATCCCAAGATCATAAACATGATTGAGAGAAAACAAGTTTCTATTACTCACAAGAATAAAAACAAAAGATATACAAACTCTAAACAAAAAAACTCTCAAACACTCCACAACTCTTTCTTGGTTGTGTTTCAACACTCTCAAGGTTGATTCATCACACTCTTGGATGATTTGAATGAATGAAATGAGTAGCCTATTTATAGATATGAATTAGCACACCACCATTGACAAAATGGTGTGTGTAAAGGGAAGTTTGGTGGAAGGAAGATGGCTAGTTTGGTTCTTCATTTGTGTGCTTCAACAATGGTGTGCTTATGGTAGTTGTGCATGGAACTTTCAATTCTCCCATTTCCATGCAAATTCTGAACAAACATTCCTACTATGTCTCTGTATAGCTTAATCTTATCCAGTGTAACCACTTTTGTCAACATATCTGATGGATTCTCGTTCGTATTGATCTTCACTAGTTTCAACAGCTGTTGATCAATCTTCTCGCGTATTCAATGATACCGAACATCAATATATTTTGTGCGGGCATGGTACATAGAGTTCTTGCTTAAGTCAATAACACTTTGACTATCACAATATACCTTGTACTCTTTCTGCTTAATCCCAAGTTCTTGGAGATAGCGTTTTAGCCACAACATTTCTTTACCAGCTTCAGCGACAGCAATATATTCAACTTTTGTTGTGGATAAAGCAACACACTTCTGCAATCTTGATTGCCAAGAAATGTCTCCCCCTGCAAAAGTGTAGACATAGCCCGAAGTAGATTTTCGACAATCAATATCTCCAGCCATATCAGCATCAGTCTATCCTTCCAAGACTGGGTCAACTCCCCCGTAACAAAGACATAACTTAGAAGTACCCTTCAAGTATCTGAGAATCCATTTGACAGCCTCCCAATGCTCCTTCCCGAGGTTAGAAAGAAAACGACTCACTACACCCACTGCATGAGCAATATCTGGCCTCGTACACACCATTGCATACATCAGACTTCCAACTGCTGAAGAGTATGACACTGTAGACATCTCCCCCATCTCTTCCTTGGATGTTGGACACGATCTTTTGCTCAACTTGAAAATGATTCGCAAGTGGAATACTCACTGGTTTGGCATCACTCATATTGAATCTTTCAAGTATTCGTTCAATATACTTCTCTTGAGATAGCCATAGCTTGTCGTTCTCTCGGTCTCGATTAATCTGCATCCCAAGAATCTGCTGAGCATTTCCTAAATCTTCCATATCAAAAGACTTAGAAAGTTCTTTCTTCAGCTAATTTATCTTCTCTGTATCATTCCCTACGATCAACATGTCGTCGACGTACAGTAGAAGAACTATGAATGCCCCGTTGGAGTATCTTTTGATGTAAACACACTCATCTGCAGTAGTCTTCTTATAACCTTGACTCTTCATGCATGAGTCAAACTTCTTATTCCACTGTCTTGGTGCTTGCTTCAGACCATACAAGCTTTTAGATAGTTTGCACACGAGGTTCTCACTTGAAACCTCAAAACCTTTTGGCTGCTGCATATAGATTTCTTCATTCAAATCTCCGTGAAGAAAAGCTGTCTTCACATCCATCGGTTGAAGCTCCAAATTCATACTTGCTGCCAAGCCAAGTATGACTCTAATTGAGGTCATCTTGACAACTGTGCAAAGATCTCGTCAAAATCAATCCCTTTCTTCTGCTGAAAGCCTTTGACAACTAATCGAGCTTTGTGTTTCACCACTTGTCCATTTGCATCTTTCTTCAGCTTGAACACCCAATTGTTTTTCAAAGCCTTTTCCCTTCTGGAAGTTTAACAATCTCATAAGTTTGATTTTTCTGCAGAGAATCTAACTCTTCCTGCATCGTAGCCATCCATTTTTCTTTATCCTTATGAGATATGAGATATGGCTTCTTGAAAACTCTCTGGTTCTCCATCTTCTGTCAATAGAAGGTATTCAGATGATGAGTACCTTTTTGATGGTATATGACCTCGTTCAGATTTACGAGTGGGTAAAGCTATCTGAGAAGAACTTCCAACATTGGTGTCTGACAAAATGGGTTGTGGCTCCTCTTGCTCTGGCAAGATGGGTTGTTGCTCCCTTTGCTCTGCACTCTCTTTTGTCTCCTCCTCTTCTTATGGTACATCATCTTCATTGTTTCTCCGGAACAATTCTGGTGCTTCATCTGAAACTTGAGCACCCACATTTGACTTTTGAGACATCTTGGACTTTTCGATATATTCTATTGTCATATTTTCTTGGAACACAACGTCCCTACTTCTGATCACTTTTTTCTCATTTGGATCCCAAAATCTGTATCCAAACTCTTCATCTCCATAACCAATGAAAATGCATGGGATTGACCTCGCATCGAGCTTCTTTCTGAGCTCTTTGGATACATGTGCATATGCTACACAGCCAAATACTCTGAAGATGTGAGTACATCAGATCCTTACCAGTCCATATTCTCTCTGGTACTTTAAAATTCAATGGAACTGAAGGTGATCGATTGATTAGATAACATGCGGTCTTGACAGCTTCTCCCCAAAATGGCTTTGGTAATTTAGCCATATTCATCATGCTTCGGACACGCTCCATGATAGTCCGATTCATTCTTTCAGCAACACTGTTGTGCTGAGGGGTACGTGCTATTGACTTCTCGTGTCGAATGCATATGTCCTGCAATATGCATTGAACTCCTTGGAAATATACTCGCCTCCATTATCAGATCGGAGACATTTCAGCTTCTTTCCTGTTTCACGTTCCACCATGACGTGAAATTCCTTGAAGTACTCAAACACCTGGTCCTTCGTATTCAGGAAATATATCCACACCTTTCGAGAAGCATCATCAATGAAAGTCAGAAAATATCTGCTTCCACCCAGTGATTCAACCTCCATGGGGCCGCAAACATCAGAGTGTACCAAGCTTAACAACTCTGATCTCTTTGTTGAATTAGTATTGAATGAGACTCTATGCTGCTTGCCGAACAAGCAATGACTGCAAGAGCCCATCGACGCACTCTTATCAACCTTGATAAGATCCTTCTTCATCAGGGTAGTCAACCCTTTCTTACTCATATGGCCAAGTCTCTGGTGCCATAGATCCTGAGAAACCTCCTCTGCAACATTGAGACTTTCTGTACTGATGTTCAAATGTGTTTTGTACAGCGTCCCACAACCATGTCCTCGGGCAATTTTCAGAACACCTTTTGACAACTTCCATGTGCTTGCGCCAAAGTGATTTTCATATCCTTCTTTGTCAAGAGACACCACTGACAAAAGATTCAGTCTAAGATCTGGCACATGTCTGACATCCTTCAACAGGATTGTACTCTCGGTTCCTGTCGTTGCCTGAATATCACCAATTCCGGAAATTTCAGAGGAGCTGGAATTTCCCATCTTCACCGATCCAAAGTCTCCAGCTTGGTATGTTGTAAAGTATTTCCTGTTGGGAGTAACGTGATAAGATGCTGCAGTATCTACCACTCATTCAATGTTTTCTCTTTAGACATGAAGGCACATCTCACCATGGTTAGAGCAATATGCTACATCACCTGAGACAGTGATAAGAGTTTCACCACTTTTGCCTTGTTCTTCTGCTGAGAACTATTTTTCGGCTGAGAATTGCTCTTGCCCTGCTCCTCGAGCCATTTATAGCAATTCTTATTCATATGACCTTCTAGACCACAATGATAGCACACATGTGATCTCCGATCATCTGATTGTCTCCCCTTGCTTCTACCCCTGCTCTTCCCTCTACCGCTTCTTTGTTGCTTGCCTTGTGGTCTTCCTCGATTCTCCATCACAAGGGCATGGGTCTGATCTGTGCCCATGTCTTTCCTTCTTGCCTCTTCATTGAATAAGACATCTTTCACAACGGACATGGAAAGTTTGTCGTTTGAGGCTGAATTGCTGAGAGTAACAACAAGTGTTTCCCAGCTATCAGGAAGGGAACTAAGAAGTAGCAAAGATTGCATTTCATCTCCAAGCGGCATCTCCACACAAGATAGTTGATTTACCAGGCTCTGGAACTCACTGGTATGCTCGGCAACAGAAGTTCCACTTTTCAACTTCATATTGACTAAGCGTCTCATCAATAAGGCCTTATTCCGAACGGTCTTAGCCTGGTACATGTCCTCTAGCTTCTTCCAAAGGTCATATGCGTCAGTTTCTTGTGCAACATGATGGAAGACACTAGTGATCAATCTATTGTCAGATTTGACCAATAATTTTTCTATTGATTTTCTTTCATTCTAACGCCTTGGACGGATCAGGGTTAATACTCTTCAGCTCTATTGGGTCAAAGAGCTTTTTACAGCTGAGGAAATCTTCCATTTAAGGTTTCCATAGCGTATAATTGGTAGCCGTGAGCATAATTCATAGCTCCAGAAGATGAAGTTGACTATTCCATGTCCATTTTACACCTTCAATGATCTGTTTGGGACCAATCGGAGCTGAATTTTGAAAAATAGACAGCACCGTTGCGTCCGGAACAGTCGAAAATGTGGGGGGGGGGGGGCTTTTTTTTTTATGACGTGGCGGTTAACTATGATGACGTGCCAGTTGACTGGACTTCACCTGCTGACGTGGCAGGTGACTGGACTGCTGGTGTGACAGGTGACTGGATTGCAAACGTAGCAGATGACTGGGTCTCCACCTGCTGATGTCGATGACGTGTCAGCTGATGTGGCGACACGTCATCATCTTCTTCCCCATATTTTTTTTT